AAAATATATTATTTAAGAAAATTCTAAAAACATTCCATAGGATTGTCGGGTCCGACATCATATTTCAAACAACATACAAACATATGCCCTGTACCACAGTGTGGTGAAGGGTATAAAACATTGGCCATAACTTCCTCTTTAATTGCTGGTCACACTTGACCTTTGTAAAACAAAAAATGGTTTTTTACCATTCTTTAATTAAATATAATAGTTTTTTTTTTGTCAAATACAATTTTTTTCTGGTGTGACATTTGTGTGTGTGTGTGTAACGCCTGTATGTATTTTCCACTAAAATTTATGGTTAATTATTTCGCTTGCTTGTGGCTAATTAACACTTTATGGTTATGAAATTTATGTCCGTAGTTTTTTTTTTGCTGTTTTTGGTGTTTTTAATGTCACACCTAAAGAGCTGGGCTATGATGATGATGTTTTTGTTGTTATTTTTCAAGAATTTGCTCATTAACTGGCTGCACAACGAGAGTGAAATACATAAACGAAAAAACTACTCGCCAAATTTGAAGGTACTGGAAAAATAGTTTTCAAAAGATTATGATTTATTTTTTAAATTTAATTAGAAAGAATTAATTTTCAAGTTTACGGATGGTTAATTGTTGTGTTAATTTGATTTTGGTTTTTTACTAATAAAAAATAATTGATATTTAATTTAAACTATAATATTTCCGCTTGGTTTTGATTTCAATCAAGAGTTAAATGATAATGGAATTATAAAAAAATAACAAATTTGAAAAAAAATTGTTATTGATGTTCTTAACATTTTCCAAAAATTGATCATTTGGTAATTTCACAAACAAATAAAATATCGGAAAAATGTCACAATATTTAAAAAAAAAATCTCGAAATATTTCAGGAAATATTCTCAATTTCACAGAAATTAATAGAGGAGTTCCCATTTCCCCGACAGAAGCCTGTTTTAATGACACACAAACATATTTTTCGGGTTAACTGTTTTTTTTTTATTTTTCTTTATTACAACATGCTAACATTTCCGTTCCTATTGTCTATTTTATTTTGTAACAACAAAAATAGTGGTTAAATTCAAATTTAATTACAACTAGGTTTAGCTACAAACAAAATTCCGTATTTTTTCTACAATGAATAACCAATGAATAAAACAAAAAGAAAAACACAAAACTGCTGTCATATTTTTTGCGCAGTTAAATAATGATATCTGTTTTTGTAGTTGTTGTTGTTGTCACTTCATAACTTATATAACATATATAATTAGTTTCAAGGACTCTTGTAATTTTTCATGGTTAGTTTATTGCGGTTTTTTTTTGTTTTGTTTTTGCTTTTTTTAGTGGAACGGATTTGAAATAAAATTTTGTTTGCAACAAACCTTGTTTTGCCTTGTAGAAACCCTAATAAACATAAAGTAAAAATATTCAACAAATATCCCTTCACTTATTTAGAAAACAAAATTTTCACATCCGTGTTGAATATTTTATTGTGTTGTTGGCCATAATCCCATGTGATTTTAAAAAAATGTTTAAAATTATTTTTTTAGAAAAAATGAATTTTAGGTGAGCTCAAGCTCAGGGAGTATTTATAGACTAGTGGAAGTGACTAAAAACCAAAGGTGGTTCTTATGGATTACAAAGCTATAGAAAAGACACCCTGTCTTTGTGTATGAAGCTGCCTTTATAGACAAACTGGAAGCAGTCTTTATAAATGAGTTGAATCTGATAGTCGTTTTAGACCTGAGGTCTGGATACTTTATAGAATACCTGAAACGTATTTAGATATTACTTAGTAATCCATTACCACACTGGAGGGCGGAAATATAGCTCTGATCACTTTAAAATGTTCCATGGAGTACAGTTATGATCAATGACAACGCCTATAATTTTCAGTGATGATCAGATAATAATTTTGAGATGAAGAAGACCAAAAACCTTCTTTTTTTGTTTTTTTTTCGAGTCGATCTATAGGCGACAATTGGAAGCAAAATTGGCTCTTATGGATTACAAAGCCTTAGAAAAGCAGGTGGTCTTTGTAGATGAAACAGCCTTTATAGACAAACTGGAGAAGGAGTCTTTATAAAGGATTTGAATCAGAGAGTCATTTTAGACCTGAGGTCAGGATACTTTATAGAAGAGCTGAAATTTGAGAAGTCATCATTATAGGATCTTTGCAGATGATCGAGCCTTTCGAGTCAAATTGGAAGGAGATTTTATAGAAGAGCTGAATCAGAAGGTCTTTTTAGACATGTCATTCTGGTCGAATTGAGGTTCAGAAATTGATGAAGACGTAATGAAACCTCTATGAATATCTTATAGAAGTGCTGACAGGAGTCTTTATAAATAAGTAGAAGATCTACTTGTTATTGAATTTCACCTAAAATCTTCATTTCCACTTGTTGGAGATTTTAGACAAACTTAAAGAAATCCTTTATAGGTGGGCGGACTCAGGGTGTCTTTATGGACTACGAGGGAAGTTCGAAAAGTTCTTAGCCTAGCACACAAAAAGCACGGTATAAACAGAAAAAGGTATTTTAGAAGCTTCCATCTCTGTTGAAGTTTTTTCGATTTGGCAACTCCTTCATATAGAAGCAGGTGTTAAAAAAATACGCATCCATAATTTTTTACAATGGAAAATTTAGAAATGCGTGCTTTCATTGTAAAAAATTGCGGATGCGTCTTCTTTGAACACCTGTTTCTATATGAAGGAGTTTCCAAATCGAAACAAAATTTAACATGTGTTCATAACAGAGATGGAAGTTTCCAAGACACTTAACATTTCGAAATGCCCTTGTTGTCCATAAAGACACCCTGAGTCTTAACATTTTTCCTGTTTGTACAGCGCTTTGTGTGTGAGGCTAAGAACTTTCCGAACTGCCCTCGTACATAGTATTTAAAAGCGTAGGTGCAAAAGAGTCTTTATATACGACCTAAGCTTAGGGATTCATTATAGAAGAGCTAAATTTGAAGCTCAGGATTTTTTTAATATTAAAACTGAAGCTTAGTCTGAGGCTCATAGATTGATATAGGTGGACTGAAGAAGAGGCAAGTCTATATAGGCGGGATGAATCTGGGAGTCATTATAAAACGAATTGAAAGTAGTCTCTATGTTGTATCCATAAATGATCACAAGAGATTGTCTTAAGAAGATTTTCTGACGGGTGTATTTTTATTCGGGTCTGATTAAAATTACGATCGAAATACCCGTATTTAAAGTGGAGCTTTGGAATTTCGAACACACACATTGTTATCACTCTTAGGATTTTGGGTACTGAAAATGTGATATCTCGATCCTCATTTTGGTATAGCCTCCGTTTCACATCGTTATTTTCAATTTTGTTGTATTTTTAAACAAAATAGGCTCTAATTTAGAATTCGGGGTTCTTGGATATCAACAAAACAAATCTCCCATATAATATCACCGTCACTTTTTCGTTATTTTATACCGAAGGCATAAAACCTCTAGCAGAAATAGATATATCCCCAATATCCTGACGTGTTGCACCTTTTTGTATTTTCCAACAAATTTAGAATTCGGGGTTCTTGGATATCAACAAAACTAATCTCCCATATAATATCACCGTCACTTTTTCGTTATTTTATACCGAAGGCATAAAACCTCTAGCAGAAATAGAGATCTACGTTCTGATATATCCCCGATATCCTGACGTGTTGCACCTTTTTGTATTTTCCAACCGGAGTTTTTGATATTTGATATTCCGAGTTCTGGATGGGTACTAAACGTCTTTTAAAGGCACACATCTACTTAGAAGATTTTCAGTATTGGTCTATGTTTCGACTAATGTTTCTATGTTTCTATGAGGCTTATTTCCCGCATCGTATTTTGCTTTTTTTTTAATACCATAAACTACGTCTTTGCAGAAAATTACCATGACAAATCCCCAATATTTTAAATGGTCACATCACAAATAAGGTTATAAAATGTCTAACCCATTTTATGGACGTCTTCATTTGTTTAATTTTTTAAATGGATGGGATGCAAAACTTTATAATTATTTATGAATGCCTTCCTCAATATACGAGCAATTCCATTTTTTAAGGAAATCCTCTTAGGAAATTTTGGTTAAATTTTATTTGGAGGCTTCATAAAAATTATAAAACTCCCAATGCTACACAGTTAGGAAATAAATTTAAATTTAAGGTTGGAGACATAGCTATGACTATAAAAAAATATCAACTTGCTATGTCTTCAATAACCATAAAACGTGTTGAGATCATAAAATATGGATTAGAGTAAATAAAAAGTAATGAAAAACAAAAAAAGTATACAATGACACTCTCCTTTCAAACTCTACATAGCTTTTGGGTGCAATTCATCATAAAGAAAAAACAAAAATTGTTAAATTTTTTATTATTTTATGAATTTAATAACAACAACAAAATTTATTTCATTTTATGTTGTTTCCCAGCTGTAAATTTCGGAATTCCATCATAAAAATCGCACAAAAATAGAAACGAAGAACAACAATCAGTTCCCCCAAGCAACCAACAGCAGCAGCTTTGTGTGTGAATGTGCGTGCGCGTGTGAATTTTTATCAGCCACTCATCTTAATTGAAATCTTAAATAAGTTAGAAAGTTCAACAGCAGCAACAACAACAACAGTAGGAAAATGTCAAATTTACGCACCACAGCAACGTCATTGGTCAAACGCACCTCATTTTCGGCAGCGGTTATAACACCGCCCATGGAACATCACCAGCCGTATCCGGTAACAACGCATCATCCTCCAGCCGAACAAGCACAGAAATTGGAGAAGACACGTGAAATGTAAGTAGAGAAAAAAAATTGAGAGAAGGTTTTATCTACCTCTCTCTCTCTTTCACTTTTGTTGATGTTTATTGCTACCAACAACAGAACACCCGTTAGATGCCAATTCTCCCACAAACAAATAATTGTCACAACAACCGACTAATTAAAATCTACTTTTCTTTCTCCACTCTCTCTCTCTCTCTCCCGCCACTCATTTCATTTATTAGCAAGCAACGCAGCATTGACAATGTCACAATTAAAAATGCAAATGTCCGTTCCTATGATGAAGTACCCGGTCCCTGGGGTTTACCTTTGATTGGTAATTCTTGGCGTTTTGCCCCGCTCATAGGTAAGTTCGGTGTTTGTTGCCACACGCAGGTGGTGGTGATGATGATGACAATGTTAAAGGGGTGGTGGTAGTGGAGGTTTCAGCTGTTATATAACAACGCATAATTAAAACAACAACTTGGAGGCAACATCATGCAATAAAACAACAACACAATACCACAATGCGCCGGAACAAGCCGTGACACGCAATGTGCCACAAAAATGCGGTCTTGTGGTATTTTCACAAACAAAAAAAACTTTTTTTTGCGTTTTTGTTTTGGCCTCACATCAAACAACTTGAGGCAACACCATCAGCAACAACAAAAATAATTATAAAGTTTGTAATTAATAATAGTATTTAATTATTTTAGTTATTTAGTTATTTATTTTCTAGTAGCACTGCTGATTTTTACCTAAAATATGACAACTCAATTGAGAGCAAGAGAGAAAATTTGAGTATGGCGCTGAACAAAAATGAATAAAATTTATTCTAGCGTCAAGCCCCTAGACGCGAACGTCAGCCTTCGGGATTTCCAGTTGCTAATAAACGACCGTCGTTGACTCTAGACTCTCTGGTTGTGTTTAGACTCAATGTCACTAACGCACAAAATAGTACGATAACGGTGATGGCTAAATACGTATTTTATTTTCGTCAGTCATTTTTGATGATTATCTCTCAGTTACGCTTCCACACACTTACTCTCTTCTTCAAAGAAGAAGACTGTAGATGAAGACATAGATAGACTGGCGTTGAACAAAACTATATCGAGAGTAAGTGTGGGAGAGCATAAGTGAGAAACCATAATAAAACATGACTGACCAAAAAGAGAATACATATTTAGCAATCACTGCTATCGAACTATATTGTCCATTTGTGACATAGATTCTTGTCGTCATATTCAAAGAGAGAGTGAGAGAAAGTAGTTGTTTGTCTCCTTTGACAGATGATCTCATCTTTGCTCGATTTTGTGGTATTGTTGAAAGTTTTTGGGGAATTTTAAATGCTATGCAGGCAGACTCTGACATTTGAATCAATTAATATTCAAATTTATTTCACACAAAATTTGAATTTTGTAGGCCTATTACAAAAATGAAACAGGTGCCTACACAGACATAGCATTATTATTAATTCAAATATACATAACAGAATTCCGTTAAAACAGGTTTTTTAATATTTTAAACTATATCGAGACAAAATATTATATTGAAAATTACAAATTTTAATTTTTAGTTTTGAATAACTCTTTTGGAATTTAGCGTGTATTAAATTAATGACTTTTTATTGTTATTGCTAAAGCTGAGTACACACTATCAGTCAGTTTGCTTCGATTTTTGACAATTCAACAACCAAAATGACAAAACATGCAAAACTTATTAGGGAGCAACTGTCAAATAGGCAAAAAAATCAGTTATTTCCCAAGTGTCATTTTCATGGTGACCAGTGTGTGTACCATGCTTAATTCATCACAATATTATTATCGCATATTTATTTATTTTTTTGTTTTCAAATATTTGCAGGCCACTACAAAATCAGTGATCTGGATAAGGTAATGAAGGAGCTGCACATTAATTATGGTAAAATAGCCAAAGTTGGTGGACTAATTGGCCATCCGGATTTGCTGTTCGTTTTCGATGGCGATGAAATACGAAATATATTCAAAAAGGAGGAGGCAATGCCACATAGGTGAGTACACACAATAAATAACTTACACAGAAAGTTATAATTATAAAAAAATTTTTAAAACAAATACAAATTCTGATAAAAAGGAACAAAAATGTCCTTCGATTAGCCATTAAACATAATTAAATAAAAAATATTTTGTTTGTAGTGAAAGAACGAAAATGTGTATTAACATTTGGTCCTTCGAATGTGATTCCATAAAAATATTATTTTTTCTAGGATAAAAATAGTAAAAAATCTAGGATATATCAATTTTAGAACTTCACCTAAAGGACATATGCTCTAATTACAACTGTTCGAATTCGATTCAGCAATTCCTTAAAATTGTAAATGCTTGAGAATATTTTTTAAATGATTTTGTTTTGATTTTGAAAAAATTCGGCAATTCGACTTGTTGATATGGGTTTTCAAAACCTAATTTTGGTCCTTCGACCTTTTCATATGTTATAAAAAATTATGTCATATTGAATTTTAGAAGCAATTGTTCTTTCGACTTCGTATTTATTATATTAAATTCCAACACTTTAATTTTATTTTAAAAAAATATTTTGGTCCTTCGACCTCTTCAAATGTTTTACAAAATATATCCTATGGTGAATTTTAAGAGTAATAACTCTGTCGACTTCAGGATAAGTGTTCCAAAACTATTTTTTTTGTCCTTCGACTTCGAAACTAGTTTTCAATCATTGTATAAAAAACCCTACCACATTCCCCGTTTGAAATTCCAGGATTTTTTGGCCCTTCGTTTTATAAAGTTTCAATTCCAATATCCAAATTTTCAACAATTTAATAAAAAACACACGAAACTTTCCATATAAAAATCATTTTACAAAACTTGTTAAATCGTGGTAATTATTTCCTGTTTTTTCTTTCATATTTCGTATATATTTATTTGGACGTTTCCAGAACTAAACACGAAATAAAATTATTTGCCGCATTGCGTGTTTATCTCTAACAAAAATTGTTTGCTTAACAAATTAAGTTTTTTGTGTTATTTACCTAACAAAAATAGGAAAAAAAGATGCCGCGATATTGGCACTTTTATTTTCAACAACAAACAATAAAGACGTCATAGTGACATCATCGGCAGCAGCATCAATTGTAATTTTTTTTTGGTTTTGGTTGTTCAAAAACAAACTATAAACTTTTGTGATGAGGAATAAAAGAGTGGCAGTTACAAAAAATTTCTAGGCAAATATGTGATTAGATTTTAAATATGAAAATGGTATAAAAATAATTGCAAATAATATTTGCTATATTTCTCATTAGAACTTATTTTTCATAAGTATTGCTATTGGAATTAAAAAAATATATATTTAAAACAAGATTTTATATTAAAAAAAACTACTTATATTATTTGCCAAGTTCCCTACTTTTCAGACCAATCACCAGAAAATGTAATTCTCATTGCTGTCGGTGCAAATTATATTTTTTTGCATCAAACTCTCCCTCTTATTTCATAAATGGGTCCACAACTATTCAGCCTACGTACATATTTGCTAGCCAAACAATCCGTAAAAGGTGCTAAATATCTTCACACAGATACCACTACCACTTTCACTGATGCATTGCAAAACACACTTATACGGATGGATGGCTGGCTATGTTTTCAAGGTTAACAGAGTGGTCTCTTTGTTTGTGCGCCAATATAAACGCGTTTTTTTTATTTTTATTCACCAAAACAACACTATTGACAAGAAATTAGCTTTGTGGTGTTATATTCACACATATGTCATAGTTGTTGTTAGTATTGTGTTTTGAATTTTGTTCTAAATAAATATTTATTTAAACAATTAACAAATTTGCCATTTTTTTCTAATAAAATAACTAAACAAAGTGCTACCACTATTAAAAGCATACGTTGACGTTACGTTCTGTAACGTTACGCTACGCCATGTTATTATGTTATTATCTCCTTGTACACAATTGTCATTGAGCAAGAGAAAAAAATCATTGACATTCAAAGTCATCATCAACATACGCACACAAACCACAAAAGCAATGGGAGGATGCGATGCTTTTTTTGTGGGTATATTTCATTTTGTCAGCTCTCCTCCGCAAGCCACCTCTCTCTCTCTACCAACACAATCTATGAGGAAATATGGTGTTTATGCACAATTCTCCTGTTGGTCTGTATGCTTGTTTGTGTGTGTGTGTTTGTTTACCTTTTGTTTTCAATTTCATGTTTTTCTCAAGGAGATTGACTGAGTAATGATTTCTGTGGTTGAGTGAGTGAGCAAGCATAGCTTTGCCCCTCCAGGGAGAAAAAAGCGGAGAGAAGAAGATTTACCGTTTCGTTTTGTTTTTCCTCACAGAGAAATGACGTCAAATTGATGATGTTGTTAAGGACTGGCAATATGGACAACGACGACGACCATGAATATTGAAGGAAATATACTGGAATGGATGGATGCCTGCAAATTGCCAACAACAACAACAAAAAGGACCCATCACATGTCCACACAACATATGCGGTTTGTTGTTGTTCACAAAAATCCACTTTTAATTACAACATTCAACCATTGAGATAATTAGAGGGAGAGAGAGTGAACACGAATACAAGACAAGACATATGAAATATTAGTAAGGTTGCTATAAAGAGGAGAGTGAGATATGTAGGAAAAAGAAGAGTCGGGAGACTAGTACCCACATCAAAACAATTCAATTTGTCAGTTGCCTTGGCTTGATATAAACAGCTGTTATTGACAAAAAGAGGTGATTTCAGCGTTTTGTGTGGAAATTATTAGGCAAACATAGGCATTCAATGTCTATAAAATGTTATAGTAAAATTTTCACAGGTCTATACAATTTTGTAGCAAATTTTCATAGGTCTCCGAGGCATATACAATTTATTAGAAAAATTTTCATAGGCCTCCGAGGCCTATACATTTTTTACAAGCTCTTGATGCTTATAAATTTTTTTTTAAAAATATTTTCATAGGCAACAAATGGTTATAGATCTCTGAGGCTTTCAAATTGTGAATTATTATTGTTTTTGTAGATTTACAAAAAATCACAGTCGATATTCGAAGCAAAAAATTCAGATATACGAAAATAAATAAATAAATAGATAAATATGTGCCAAAAACCCATCATCTTCAAATGTCTTAAGATGAGTGCAAAAAACATACACATAGCTTAGCCTAGCCCACTATTAAAAAGTTAAACAAGCAAACCAGGCATAAAACGCTGATTGTTTATCTTTTTTGTTTCTTTTGGCCTAAAGCGACATTATAAAAGCGCAAGACAACTGATGACAACAACAACCACACAACAAAAAAAAAAATGCTCTTCATTGATGGGACATTTACATAGCGGCGACCACACCAAGAAAAAATAATTTATGATCCATTCATTGCCTACCAGCAACCAACCATCCTCCTCTTAACAAGACATTTTATTAACCCGAACATCTAACCAGACAACTTATGTTAATTTCCAAAAAAAAAAAAAATATATATTTAAATCCAAATCATTCATATTTAATTCAAATTAAAACAACATGTGGTGGAATTGATTTTGTTGTCGCCCAAATATAACCACACAGATGAAATTCAATTTATTGTAAAGATTTCTATGTCTTGCAAAGATGACCATGAAGATCAGAAGTGTGGGAATGCAGCAGCTCAGGTCGGCATTCATATATAAAAATATATTTTATTTTATGGGTGGGGAAGAAAGTAAACCAGTGTAATGTAGCAGATCAACTCAAAATGAAACTTGATATTTGAGATGATTTACAAAATTGTTATAAAAAAATGTGGGCATGGCGACAAACCGTTTTTTTTTGGTAGTGAGGTAGGTTAAGTCTTTTGAATGAATGACACATTTTTTCAACTAAAGTTGACATTGAGAAAAAATAAGTAGTGTTTTCAAACACGTGCCTAATAACTACCTTTTGTAAGTTTTATATGGCGCCAGTCAGCTGTTCTTATTCCCTTGGTTAGGAGAATTGTGTTGTAGCGTGTCACGATTCAACGTAATGAGACCATCACGAAAGCCATTTAATGGTTTGATATCGGCATGCCAATAAAATTTTGATTTGGTTTTTGAGTTTTGGGGAGAGAGAAATGGCACAGTAGGTTTTAGTATTTAACAGATATACAATCTTAGGGCTCCGAGGCCTATAACATATTATCGAATTTTCTTGAGGCTTCAGAGGCTTATGAAAAATTTAAAAAAATAGGCCTCTGAGGAGGCATTTTATTGGAAAAATTGTCAATGGACTTTGAGAATTACACATTTTTTATAGAAAATTTGTCATAGGCCTCTGCGGCAGAAAAAAATCTATTGAAAACTTGTCCATAGACCTTTGAGGAGGCCTACACAATTTTATAGATATTTTTTCATAGGCCTCCGAGGCCCATATCATTTTATAGAATTTTTTCCATAGGTTTCTAAGGCCTATACATTTTTATAGAAATATTTTCAGAGGCCTATAAAATTTTATTGACAATTTTATAGATACAAATTTCATAATCGCTAAAAATGTATAGGCATCGGAGGCGTATGAACTCCGAGGCCTATACATTTCTACCGATTATGAAATTCCGTAAAAGTTTCCGAGCCCTATAACATTTTATAGAAAATATTTCATAGTCCTCCGATGCCTTTACAACTGCCTTTGTGGACCAGCTTAGACAATTTTTTATTGGCTTTTACAAGTTTATGGAAATATTTTATAAGTCACCGATAACTGTACAATTAAAATATAAAATGTTATTCAAAAGTCCTTCGATGCCATTACAATGAAAAATTGCCTATAAATTTCATAGACCCATTTTCATACGCCTCCGAAGTGTAGACAATTTTTTATAGGCCTTCGGGATCTTTAACATTTTATATAATTATTTTATAAGCCTCCGATGACTGGACATTTTAATAGAGAAATGTTCATAGACCTCTGAAGGCCTGTAGAATTTTATAGCATATTTTTTAAAATGTCTCCGAGGTCTATATACTTTCATAAAAAAATGCCATAAGCTTACGAGGCCTGCAAAATTTATAAAAAAATTTCCATATATCTCCCAGACTTACAAACTGTTCTAGGAAAAAAAATTCATAGTGCTCAGAGATCAGAGACCTTTTAAATTTTATACAACAAGTTGTAGAACATGTTTCCTAGACCTCTGAGGTCTGCTGAGATTTATAAAAAAATTTTCATAGACCTCTGAAATTTAAACAGAATTTTTGACAGGCCTCTAATTCTTACAAAATTTTACAAAACAAAAATCGTTGACTTCTGAGGCCCACAACATATTGTAGAACATTATTCAAAAGACCTCTGAGGTCTGCAGAGATTTAAAAAAAAAAATGTTTCATAGACCTCTGAAATCTACACAGTTTTATACATAATTTTTCCTTGATCTCTGATGTTTGCAAAATGTTTTAGGAAATAATTTCGTACATTTCCGAGGTCAACGAAACATTTTAAAATATTGCAGGCACAATCTGCACTAATGATTCAACATTTTTCAATGCTGCCTCAAAATTTTTTAACGTTGCTGGATCATTTCGAAGACGTTTTAAAATTTATAGAAAATTTTTGTAATCCTCCGAGGCCTATAAAATCGTTTAGGACATTTTTATAGTACCCCGAAGTACGATAAACACATTTTATAGAAACTTTGTATAGGCCTACAACATTTTATAGAATATTTTTAAAAAACCTCTGATAGCTTATAAATTTCATAGACAAATGTTCTAGAGGTCGCAGAAATCTTAAACACCATTTTAAACAATCTCTGAGGTCTAGAAAAGATTAAAGAACTTCGTGTGCGTATTAGTAATAATTGCTGGGCATACAAGGCGTATACGTAATCTCCTAAATTACAAAATATATATCACATACGACACCTGGGTTACCCTTTGCAAATTTTTATTTTCAAAAATATACAATTTGTATTTTATATGTATTTTTTTGTGAATCACATACCACCATGTTGGGCGCCACTATGTCTGAACGCAAACATTTCGAATGAATGAATTTTGTTGGGTTTTATTTTTTTTGTGTTTCTTTTCAAAATTATTTTTTCGATTTCTATTAGTTTTCGTTTTGAGGGGGATTATTAAAAACAAAAAATTTAATAAATACACAAAGAGGTGGCTGGTGGTTTTTTGATAATGTTATTTTTGTTGTTGTTGTTCTGGTATTTATAATTCATCTATTTTTGTTACTCAAATTTGTCGCAGTCATTGACAAATATCATCGGCACCATCATCTGTGTTTAATGGGTTGTCATCGTTGTCGCCGCCAAGGCATACGTTTCGGATATTTGTCATTCACCAGGAACCCCACACCTCGAACTCTGTGCAACCACCATACAATGGGGTTCCCTAGCCGATTTTTTTTTTTTTTTTGCAAATTTTGTTTTAGAAATATTCAACGAAGAAGAGACAAATGTGGAGGTGGAATGCTGATGATGACCAAATTAGCTTGTAAATTGTTGCCAATTTATTAGCGAAAAAAAGAAGAAATGTCTACTATGAACGTCTGTCTGCCCTATGCCGCGGGATGGCATCAATTCTCTTGTCAAATTAACCACCGAATGACAAATCCATAAAAAATTTGTTTGTCATTTTTCTGTCGTTATTGTTTTATGAACTGACCTTAATTTTTTAATTGGCTGCAAAGCAAATATTGAACGACGACATCAACATCGGAAATGTTTTATTATAATTAGCGACTGAGAACTAATCTGGAATGATGGCGAGGGAGGGAGCGAGGGGGTTTGGTAGATAAAAAACATCATGCAAATGACATGCAATCAACTTCATTTGGAAATAGGTTTCCACAAGGGTATTTTATGCTAATTTTTTCGTTTGATTCAGGGTAATTTTTCATTAGTGTGGCAATTTGTTGTTGTTTTTTTCTCTTTCTATAATTTGGTCATTATGGATAGGGGAAGGGGGAAATCAAATGTACAACTGCAGCTAATAATCAATGGAAATTATTTAAACAATGTAAATAATTTAGGATACAAAATGTTTCTTTGAAAACAGAGATTAAATTAAATTTTGGACCCACAATCTGTACAATTTTTTTCGTCGAGGTCTAAAAAATGTTGAAGAGACACTTTTAATGTTGATTCAACATTTCCATATGTTGCCGCAGCTTTTTTTATAAAAAAATAATTTTCGTTAAAGCCTAACAATGATGTAGAAAAAATTTCAGAAGTCTACAACATTTTATAGAATGTTTGGGTAGACCTTTGAGGTCTACAAAACACTTTTAAATGTTGCAGATACATTTTGGAAGTTGATTCAACATTTTAATGTTGCCTCAACATTTTTTATATGTTGCTGCGTCATTTTTCTGTAAAACAAATGTAAATTGACCTCTGAAGTCCAGAAAATGTTATAAAAAGTTTTTCCGTAAACCTCTGAGGTCCACAAAATCTATTAGAAATGTTTATGCAGAGTTCTAACAAATATTTTAAAATGTTGCCGATACATTTTGTAATGTTGATTCAATATATTTTTGTTTCCTCAATTTTAAAATGTTGCAGCAATATATATATGTAACATTAATTCCCTAATTCGTTCAATTAATATAAATTTATATAAAAATTTTCCGGCCTTCAATACCCTCACGGAGAATATATAAAGATTTCTTGGTAATAGACATTTTATTATTCAAACATAACAATTTCGGTGACCTCTAAGGTTTACACACATTTATAGAAAAGTCACATATTCATAAAACAAAAATCTTTGACCTCTGAGGCCTACAACATGTTGTAGAACATTTTTCCTAGACCTCTGAGGTCTGCGGAGATTTATAAAAAATGTTTCATAGACCTCTGAAATCTAAACACAGTTGTTGACAGGTCTACAAAGCTTACAAAATTTCATAGAACAAAAATCGTTGACCTCTGAGGCCTATAACATTTTATAGAAGATTTTTTCAACACCTCTGAGCTCTGAAATCTAAACAGTTTTATACATAACTTTTCCTAGATCTCTGAGAAAATAATTACGAACATTCCTGAGGTCATAGAAACATTAAAAAATGTTACAAACATAATGTGTACTAATGATTCAATATGTTTCAATGTTGCCTCAACATTTTTCAATGTTGCCTCAACATTTTTTAATGTTGCCTCAACATTTTTTAATGTTGCTGCAACATTTTCAGGCAATTTTAAAGTTAATCTAAATGTTCAGGCTTTCTATTGTCACCATGCGAAATTCAAAAATGCCTTGAGAAAGGATTTTCTCTACAAATAATATCTCTTAGACCTCTGAGGTCTATAACATTTGATATGAAGTTTTTCTTATAACTCAGAGGAACATATTTCGTAGACCTCTGAGATTTACAAAATTTAATAGAAGATGCTTCGTAGACCTCTAAGATACACAACATTTATTTATTAGCATGTTTCTGATAGTTCCTAGGTCTTTACAATATTTTAAAATGTTGCAGAAACATGTTGTAATGTCGAATCAACATTTTAAATGTTGCCTCAACATGTTTATATATTGCTGCAGCATTTATAGGCAACCGATAATTATAGATACTTTCTCAAGGCACCTTGAGTAAGAATTTTCCCTACAAATAATATTTCATAGACATCTGATGTCTATAATATTTGATATACAACATTTCTTAGGTCCCTGATATCCATAATATGGCTTATAACATTTTTCATAGACCTCTGAGATTTACAAAATTTGATAGACCCCAAAGATCTACAATATTTCTTTTACTAAGTGTTTCTTATAGCTCTAAGGTCTTTACAATATTTTAAAATGTTGCAGAAACATTTTGTGTAATGTCGTATCAACATTTGAAATGTTGCCTCAACATGTTTATATGTTGCTGCAGCATTTCTAGGCAACCGATAATTATAGATTTAATTCCACAATTCCTTCAATTAATTAAACTTTACTTCGTTTTCAAAACTTCAGACCCTCCATGCCCTCGCTGAGAAGATACAAAGGTGTGTTGAGAAAGGACTTCTTCGGAGATGTTGCAGGGCTAATTGGAGTGTAAGTATTAATCAAAATTTAGAGATATTTTGAATTTTTCTAATAACAAAATTCATTCATTTTAATAGGCATGGTAAAAGTTGGGAATCATTCCGCCAAGAGGTTCAACAGATCCTCTTACAGCCTCAGACAACAAAAAAATATATACCTCCACTTAATGATATTGCCAGTGAGTTTATGGTGAGGTAAGTAGACTACTAACAGATTTATAAGTTTCCAGAGATCCATTGCCTCAAAAGGATTACAAAATGATGTAGAAAAAAATCTCCGAATGCAACTGAGAACTACAACGTCATATAAAAACTTTTCTAAGAGTATCTGAGGAAAGAACGATTTTATAGAAGATGTTTCGTCTCTGATGCCTACGGAATTTTATAGAAACATTATCGTAGGTGTCTAAAGACAACTAAATTTTATAGAAACTTGTTCGTAGATCTCGGAGTCCTGCGAAATTGTATAGGCATTTTTCGGATTTTCCGTGAGGCCTAGAAAATGTTTTAGAACAGTATTGGTTAGTCTCCGAAGCTTGCATAAGTATGTGGATAATTTGCTGTAGGTCTCAAAGATTTTCTACAACATTTTGTAGGTCTCAAAGACGCCAGAAAAATGTTATATACAATTTTGAAGGTCGCCGAAGCCTGTGACAAATGTTCTTTAAAATTTTGTATACCTCGAGTTTTCTATGTAATTTTGTAGACCATGGAGATCCACAACCAATTTTTTTCAAAAATTGAATATTTCTTCGAGATCCACGAAAAATAGTTGTGTAGGCCTCAGGGACCTACAAAAATGTTTCTACAAAATTGTTTAGATTTGAGACAAACGAAAGTGTTTCTAGAACATTTTGTAGGTCTCAGAGACTAACCAAGAAAATTCTATCAAGTTTTGTGGGCCTCAAAAAAGACCTACGTAAAAATTTCTATAAAGTTTTGTAGACCTCAACAAAGACCTGCGAAAATTTTTCTATAAAATGTTGTAGGCCTCAGAGACCTACAAAAAATGTCTACAACATTTTATAGGCCTCAGAGACCTACAAAAAATGTCTAAAACATTTTGTAGGCCTCAATATTCAATTAAAAATTTTAGGTCTCAGAGACATACAAAACATTTTCTAGATCAAGAGGTCAAACAAAATATTTTAATTTAATTTCATTACAGAATTCATGAAATGCGTGATGAAAATAATGAATTACCCGGAAATTTTCTGCACGAACTATACAAATGGGCTTTGGAATGTAAGTACACAGAGTTAGGAGAAAATTAAGGCCGGCTCTTCAAATTTTTAATATAATATTTTTTTCTTTTATTACAGCTGTGGGTCGTGTTGCCTTAGATACCCGCTTGGGATGTCTATCACCCGAGGGTAATGAAGAGTCACAAAAAATTATCAATTGCATTAACACATTCTTTTGGGCTGTGCCCGAGTTGGAGTTGAGAATGCCATTGTGGAGATTTTATCCCACCAAGGCATATCGTAGCTTTATCAAGGCTTTGGATGATTTTACAGAGTAAGTCGGCGGCACTGTCCCTCATAAATATTAAAAAATATAATTTTCCATTCCCTAGAATCTGCATGAAAAACATTAGTCGCACCATGGATGCTGCCGATTCGTGCACAAATTTAAACAGAGCGGAAGCTGATATCAGTATCGTGGAGCGTATTGTACGTAAAACAGGCAATCGTAAATTAGCAGCTGTATTGGCCTTGGATCTCTTTTTAGTGGGTGTCGATACGGTAGGTAGTCGAAGTAGTGGTTGTGGTGGTAGCGGTGGTGGAGGCAGCAATAAAATGCCAATGAAATACTAATTTCAATTTAATTAATTAAAAGCTTTTCACAACCTTTCGAGTACTTTTGGATGTATGTATTTATGTGTGTATGTATTTGTATGTTTTTTTTCGTTTTTTTACTTCTAGACTTCTGTGGCTGTTTCCTCCACCATTTATCAATTGGCCAAAAATCCCGATAAACAACAAAAACTTTTCGCCGAACTGCAAAAAGTCTTTCCCAGTTCACATGAAGCGGAAATTAATCAAAATGTCCTTGAGCAGATACCATATTTAAGGGCATGTGTCAAGGAAACTTTAAGGTATGTATTTTTGTGTGGATGAAAAAAGGAGAGGTGGTAGAGGAAGAAGACAAAAATTGAAGAAGATGTAATCAGAAATTTGTTTTCATGAGAAAAAAAAATCTGGGCAAAGTGAAAGAGACAGGGACGAAGCATGTTTTATTAATTCATGAAGACCTCAGAAGTCAAGGGAAATATTTTTTTAAAATTTGGAAGACCTCAGAGAGGTCTTTCAATTTTTTATTTTATTTTTTGTCTTTAAAATGTTTAATAAAATGTTGTTGAAGACCTCTGAGGTAAAATAAGTTGCATAAACACATTTTTAATGTTGCCTTGGCATTTTTCCATGTTGCTGCAACATTTCTTTCATTAAAGAATTCATAAAGTGCTACCTATAATTCTAGATGCATTTCAGTAATTCCTCATACTTAGATAAATTCAAATATATGTTAAATGGAGGAATTTCGGAATTGAATCTGTTATTATAAGTTTCATAGAAATGCTCTAGCAACATAGCAAAAATGTTGCAGTAACATTAAAAAGGTTGAATCAACATTAAAAATTACAAAATGTTCTCTCAACATTTTTAAATGTTGCTGCAGCATTTCTATGTAGCTTATAACTCTAGACGCCATTTCCTAATTCTTCATGCTTGGATAAATTTAAATTTAGGTTAATTGGAGGAAATCAGGAATTGAATCTAGTATTATGAGTTACATAGAAATGTTGCAGCAACATAGTAAAAATGTTGATGCAACATTGAAAATGTTGAATCAACATTGAAAATTCCGAAAATTTTCTGCAAATGTTCTGAGGAAACAGAATGTTTTTTTATGTACATTTCAGAGGTGTACGGAAGGCTTTCTAAACAATTTTATATGTCTCGGAATATTTCTGTAGACTTCATAGGTCTATGAAAATTCCGAAATCAGTTTCTATTTAAATTCTCAGGCCTCGGAGAGCTTAATATTTAAAAGAAAACATTGTAATAGACCTCCTATCAAATTTCTTTGCAGACCTCAGAGGTCTACGATTTTTTTATAGAATTTTGTAGATTTTAGAAGTATAAGAAAATTGTTCTTCCAAATTGTGTATACCTCAGAGGTCTATGAACAAATTTCTATAGGCCTCGGAGGCCTATGAAAACATTTCTATGAATATATATATATATATTTTTTTGGCCGTGGAGTCCTGTGAATAATTTTCTTTAAGATTTTATAGGCTTCGGAAAGACCCACGAAAAATGTTCAATGGCATTTTGTAGGCCCCAAAGCCCTACGAAAAATTGTCTATGAAGTTTTGTAGTCCTCAGATGTCATTGAAATTGTTTCTATAAAATTTTGTAGACCTTAGAGATCGATTAACATTTCTTCTAAAAAAAATTTAAACCTCAGAGGGTCTAAGAAAGTTTTTTTTTATTATGTTTTGTAGATCTAAGAAAACTTTTCTATAAAATATTGCAGACCTCAGAGGTCTACGAAAAACATTCTTATAATTTTTTTCTATATAGGTTTATGAAAAAAAGTTTTTGAGGCTGAAATTTATTCCAAAAATATTTATAGGTCACGGAGGCCTATGAACATTTCTCTATAAACTTTTAAAGGAGACCTATGGAAAAGTTTCTGCAAACTTGTAGAGGCCTCGGAGGAATATGACAAGTTTTTAGGACATTATTTTCGGCCATGGATTCCTATTAAGTAGTAAAAATTCTATTAAATTTAGGAGGCCTCTGAAAAAAATATATACAATTTGAACAATAGGTCTTGGAGGCCTATGAAAAATGTTGTATACAATTATTTGGACCTCGGAGGCCTATGAATTAAAATTTTATAGGCCTCGGAGAATTCTGAAAAATTTTCTACGCTTCGGAGGCCTATGAAAAATTTTCCAAAAAACTTGAATAATCCTATGAAACATTATCTACAAAATGGTATTGGTCTCCGAGGCCTTTAACAATTTTTCTAAAAAATTTTATAAGCCTCGGAGGCCATAGAGGCATTTTTTATTTGTTTTTATCGGCCTTGACGGCATATGAAAAAAATTATACCGAATTGTATGGGCCTTCAAATGCCTTTGAAAAATATTCTATAAAATTTTATGGGACTCGCAAGCTTATAAAAAATGGTGTATAAAATTCTATAGGACTCGTAGGCCTATAAAATGTTTCTATTATATTGTAAAGGACTTGGAGCCCTATGGAGGGCTGGGAGGTCTCAGGAAAATTGTCTACAAAATGTGATAGGCCTCGAAGTTCTATGAAAAATTTGTTTATACAATTTGTTTAGCCCTCGGAGGTCTCAGGAAAGTTGTCTATAAAATGTGATAGGAAGCCTCGGAGGTCTATGAAAAAATTGTATAAGATTTTTAAGGCCTCTGAGGTCTTTGCAATAACTTTTCTCCTATTTAATTATTTCTTCTTTTTGTTTTTTTTTTTTTGCTCTTTCAGAATGTATCCCGTTGTCATTGCCAATGGTCGTAGCCTACAATCGGATGCCATTATCAATGGCTATCATATACCAAAGGGTGTAAGTTTTCCAATTTGAAAACAAATCTTGTTTTCAATTGAAGAGAAGAAAAGCAGGATTTAATTTCATTTCTATTTTTCGTTGTTGTTGTTTTTGTATTTTGCAGACAAATGTCATATTTCCCCATTTGGTTGTGTCAAATGATCCAGCATATTTTCCAGAACCGAAAGCATTTCAACCGGAACGTTGGCTTAAACAGAATGAAACAACAGCAAATCAACAGAGTAAGTAGAGTGGGGGGAAACAAACTTGGGTCAATTTTCCGGAGTAATATACTCATCTGTTGGTCTGAAAATTGGGAAGGGTGGTGGGTAGGAAAATAATGCTTTGGAATTTCTAGAGAAAAAATCTCATACTTGGAGAATATTTAGAAAGCTTTATTTTGTGAAATTCTGCATAATTGAAACGAAGCCAGGTAATTTCCTTTCCATTCAGTTTTCAGGGTATTATCATATCTCAAAAAATTATTGAGTGCCGAGTGGGAGGTCCTTCTTCATAATTAAATTTATTTTTTTCGTTACAACAAAAACCAAAGCAATTTGAATTTAACAGAAAATGTTCAATTAATAGAATCGAATTTCCGGAAACAAGAAGACCTCTTAGCAGCCTCATGTACAAAAGGAGAGTTTAATTAAAAATTGTTTTTGAAGGACTCTTGTAGGCTACAAGGAAATAGGAAAATTATCCGTAAGAGGCCATATTCCATTACATAGGACCATATTTGAGTATTTCTGCATTTTTTCAAAGGAAGTCCCTACCACCTCCCTACTCCCACCCACATTATGTTCGGGGTGGGGAAACAAATTGACATAGCAATTTTTTCCATTGACTTGTTTTTTCTCTCTTCTTCCACACAGATGTTAATCCAAATGCAAATAGATGTCCACATCATGATGGCCACAAAATACATCCCTTTGTTAGTTTACCATTTGGTTATGGGCGTCGCATGTGTGTCGGACGACGTTTTGCGGAAATCGAATTACATACTCTGTTGGCAAAGGTAAGTACATTTGGTACAAACAACAAAAAGAGAGGGGGCGAAATGGTAAACATGAAAAAAAACATCCATATGGCAAAAGGAGGCTAAAGGAGGAGGCAGATTGCCAGTTAGGCTGGTTAAAGTACCTCTAAGCCTAGCTGGGAGTTTTTTACTGCCATTCACTTACAAGTCACTACACTTTACACATCATCATCATCAGCAGCAGCGCGTCGTTAGCAAGTTGTTGTATCCTTCAGCAGACATTCACTTTTTCGTGTGAGTAAGTGTGTGTGTGTGTGTTTGGTAAAGGGGAAATTGAAATTCTTGACAACAACAACGATAATGGAGATGAAGAAGAAGAAGATGTTAACAAACATTGGCCGAGCAAAACCTAACAGACAACCATGCAGCTCGGGAGGGAGACTGCTTTAAGTCTGCCAATGTTTTGTTGTTTTTTCCATGGTTGCCTTTCTATTTTTTCTATTTGCCTCTTCTATAAACCATTCATTTGTTTATTTTTTTCTTGCAGATCTTCCGCAAATACAAAGTCGAATACAATCATGGCGAACTGGAGTATAAAGTCAACTCAACCTATATTCCCGAATCACCGTTGAATTTTAAATTAACTGTCAGAGATGAGTAACCGAACTAAGCGAATATTTGGATGCCAGAATCGAGGAAATGATTGGAAAAGAGACATGTGTATATGTGTGTGTATATACATATAGAGACATTTTTTTAAATAATATGTAAATATAAATAATAAGTATTATTTTTTTGTTATTATTTTATAAGTTTTTATAAAAAAATGTTTTTTAAATATTTTTTAAAAAATTGTGTAATTGTATTTTTTTCTATACAACCAAATATTAAATTATATATATGAAATAAATAAATAAAATAATTAAATAAATTAAGAAAATGTTATAAATTTATAATAGGCCTCAGAGGACTATGAACAATTATCTAAAAACGTTAGGAGGCCTAATTTTTATACCCTACACAACTATGTTATCAGGGTATTATAGCTTTGTGCAGCCCCAAGAGTTTGTAACGCCGCGAAATATTGGTCCTAGACCCACCTTTATGTATACCGATCGTCATAACTCGACTAGCTGAGTTGATCAAGACATGTGTGTCCGTCCGTCCGTCTGTCCATTATAATTTGTAAACACGTTATAGACCAATAGAGGGCGAAAATATAGCCCTGATCACTTTGGAATTTTCCATGAGGATGAAGGTATGGTCAAGACATCGCCACAATTGAAAGCCGAACATAACAACACAACCAACGGTGAAGGGAATCTGTACAGGTAATTAGAAGAGATGTACTGAATATAAGTAATATTTGTTGACCTCTAATCGGTTAAGAGGGTGCAAATATCGCGAAATATTGCCCAAGCTCAGAATATAGAACTACAGAAAGTAATATTTTCGTGGAAGTTGTGTAGGGTATCATATGGTCGGCCCCGTCCGACTATACTGCTCCTCTCACTGGTTTTCTATAACATTTTATACCCTACGAATTATTTTCTTTAACATTTTATAGGTCCTAGAGGCATTTTCTATTTTTATACCCTTCGCCACACTGTGGTGGTACAGGGTATTTTGTCTTTGTGCATATGTTTGAATCGAGGAGGATATGCATAGAATCACTTTCTGAGTCGATTTACGCATGTCCGTCCGTCCGTCCATGTGCTTTTGTGAACAAAGTATAGGTCGCATTTATGATCCGATTTTGATGAGATTTGGCATATGTCACTTATTTGGCCCAAGGACGGACCCTATTGAAATTGGGAAAAATCGGTTCAGATTTAAATATAGCTCCCATATATATTTTCGTCCGATTTAATGTAAATGATGTACCAAAGACCCTATATATCTTTCGATTTACACGAAATTTGGCACAGCGTAATGAATTAGGTCTAGAATGATGTGTGTTAAGTTTCCTGAAAATCGGTTCAGATTTAGATATAGCTCCCATATATATTTTCGTCCGATTTAATGTAAATGGTGCACCAAAGTCCCTATATATCCATCGATTTGCACGAAATTTGGCACAGCGTAATGAATTTGATCTAGAATAGTGTGTGTTAAGTTTCCTGAAAATCTGTTCAGATTTAGATATAGCTCCCATATATATATTTTCGTCCGATTTAATGTAAATGGTGTACCAAAGACCCTATGTATCTTTCGGTTTGCACCAAATTTGGCGCAGCGTAATGAATTAGGTCTAAAATGGTGTGTGTTAAGTTTCGTGAAAATCGGTTCAGATTTAGATATAGCTTCTATACCTGACCAAATGAAAAATTTAGTATCGGTTGCAGAATGACATGTTTATGGATCAAATTTCACTTTAGTGGTCCTTTAAAAATGCGACGTCTATTAGGATTCAACTGTTGAATATATCGAAAGTGGTGAAGGGTATCATGTAGTCGGTGTCGTCCGACTTTACTACTTTCCTTACTGGTTTTTATAGGCCTTGGCGGCATATGAAAAAAAAATACAGGCCTCAGAGTCTAATGAAAAAATATATATACAATTGTCTATGTATTTTAGGACTATGAAAAATATTCTCTAAAATGTTTTAGGCCCTGCGGATGTCCGAAAAACTTTCAATCAAATTGTATAGATCTCGGAGGTCTATAAAAAATTGTTTATAAAATGTTATAGGTCTGAGGGGACCTATGAAAAATCTTCTATAATATAGAACAAGCGTTGGGGGCTAAAAGTTTATAGGAATCGGGGGACTATGAATAAAATTGTAAGGCCTAAGAATGATATGCTATACAATTTTTTAGGCCCCGAAGGCCTATGAACAATTGTCTATAACATGTTACGGGCCTCGGAGGCCTATACAAATAATTATATGCATCAGAGGTCTTTGAAAATGCTTAAAAAAAGGATATGGAATTTTAAAGACCTCAGAGGGCTATGAAAAGATTTCTGCAAAATTGTGTAAAGCTGAGAGGTCAATGAAAAATGGCGCTTTAAAAAAAATTAGTAAAAAAAAATTATGACGCAGGGCTACTGAAAATCTTCTAGACCTCGAGACCTATGAAAAATTCTTTACAATACTTTTATTTTATATAGAATACTTTTCGTGGTCCTCCGAGGCCTATACAATTTTATAGAAAAAAAATTCCATATGAACATTTTTCTATCAAAGCTTGAAGGCTGCGTAGATCTATGAATTATTTGAGGCTTCGGAGGACTACGGGCTTAAGTGACACACGAAAAAACTTTTATGGGTCTCGAAGGGCTTTGGAAATACCCTGCTAGCTATATATACCCTGTATCACATTATGGTGTAGATTATGATAGGTCTCTGAGCATATCGTGACAAATTTATAAAAGCAAGAAAAAGCTAAAAAAGTTCTCGGAGGCTATTGTACAATAGTTAAGGGTACTGAGGGCTATAAAAAGTTATATATACAATTTTATAACCTCCAGAGTCTGATTAAAAATATATATATAGATTTTAGATTTTTCTCGAAAAAATCTCTAATATTTTCAATTATTTCAATTTTTTCTTTTCAACATAAAAACTCGCTGTTATATATTTCACACTTCCCATTCACCGATTATTTACAACTATTTCTATGTTGTTGTTGTTGTATTTTTTACAACAAAACTAAACAAAATGTTACAGGCCCATTTTCAAAATGTTTTTTATTACTCTCAATACAAAAGTTTGAAACAAAAGATTTAAACTTTTATCTCCGACAAAAATACAAAGAAACCGAAATGTTTTGAATAAATTATCACCAAGACAAAAATCTCTGATCACCACCTTGACCCAATAATATTGTGTGGAATGGAAAGCCACACCAGTCAAGGTGTAAATGGGTTTGTAAATGCAAATTATGTAAATTGTTGTTGTGGTATTTGTTGTAATATGCTACTACTACGACTACTTACTATTTAGCTGAATCGTTTAATTGATATTCGTTGCTACGCGAGAAGCACTCTTGAACACCGGCATCTTGCCATAGCCGTTTCATGGCAGCTAAAAGTTCCTCTGAGAAGGGTTCAGTGTCGTGCATGCGTGAACACACATCGAATACCATTTTGGAATCATTCTGGAAGGAGAGAAACAGAAGGATTAATTATTTGAAAAAGTAAATAAATAAAAAACTTCGTATGAGAAAGAAAACGTGGGGTTCTGAGATAAGAAATAGGACTACACTAAGTATTGCCGCCCTCGGAGTTTTATTGACACCTATGAAAATGTTTCTAAAAAAATTTTTAGACCTCGCAGACCTCTGAAAAATGAATTTGCTTCGGAGACCTATGGAAAAATTTCTATAAAATTTTGTAGGCCTCTGAGGCCAATGAAAACATTTCTATGACATCAGGATCTATCAAAAATGTTTTATAAAATAGTATGGGCCTCGAAGGCCTCTGAAAAATTTTCTAGACCTACGAGCAATTCTCTTTGACATTTCAAAGGCCTCGGCCTATGTTTGATAAAATTATATAGGCTTTGGAGGTCTATGAAAACTTTTCTGTACATTTGTAAAGGCCTTGGAGGGTTATGAACCCGGGAGCCTATGAAAATCTATCTTAAAAACTGCATAGGTCACAGAGACCTATGGTCACAGAGGCATAGGCCCAAAAGGCCTATGATATTTTTTTTTAGATCCCGGAGGTATATGAACGATTGCGATAAAATTGTAAAGGTTTCAGAGCCATATTAAATTTTTTTCTATAAAATTGACCTTGGAGACATGAAAACAATTTTTCTATAAAATTTTATAGGCCTCGGAAACATAGGAATATTTTAATATACAAATTTATAGGACTCAAAGACCGCAAATGCCTATGACACTGTCTATAACATTTTGCAGGCCTGGGAGGCTTAGGAAAAATGTTCTATAAAATTATATATGTCTCAGAGGTCTTTCTTCAAAAATTGAAAATTTTTCCCCAATATTTTATAGGCCGCAGAGGCCAAAGATAATTAGTCTATACAATTTTATAGGCTTTGGAGAGACCTATGAAAAATTGTCCATAAAATTGTATAGGCCTCGGAGGCAATGAAAATTATTCTCTACAATTTTATATGCCTCCATAGCCTATGGTAAATCTTCTACAAAATGTTGTAGGCCTAGGAGGCCTATGAAAAATTCTCTACAGAATTCAATACGCATAGGAGGGTTATAGGCCTCTGAGGCCTACGAAAATGTTTCTATAAAATTGTATTGGCATCTTAGAAAATATTTCAAAATCATTTTTTATACCTCGGAGGCCTAAACATTTTTTCTAAATAAAATTATCTACGCCTCAAATTTTATAGATCTCGAATGCCCCCATGAGACCCATCAACGTTTTGTAATAAAATTCTACAGCCATCGGAAGCCTATGAACAATTTTCTAAAGAATTCTATAGACATCGGAGGCCAAGGAAAATGATTTCTATAAAATATTATAAAACTCGGAGACTTATAGTACGTTTACATAAAACCGGATTTTGTTAACCCAGTGGGTTTCAATTGTCAATTCCTTTCAATATATGTCAAATAAATCTTCATAAAGTAGGTTAACCCGATAAAAAGTTCTAATGTATATGCCGTTTTATAAAAATTTGTCTAAAAAAATATGAAGTCAAAAAAATCTAAAAAAAAAATCTGTAAAATGTCAGGTAATTGACAAATTTTCTATACAATTTTATAGACATCGAAAACCTATAACATTTTTTTTAAATAGCTCCTTTAGACCTCTGAAACCGAAGAGAAGTCGTATGACGAATTTAAATACGGTCACATATAAATAATAACCATACGCCCCCCACACTCTTCTGTAATTAATAATAATCATCCGTCCCCGAGGATTTTATTTAATTTTTCCTAATTTGTCAAAAAATCGAAAACAAAAGCATATTTTTTAAATAAATATCACACCAAAAATGAAAAATCACCACAGTTTTCCCATCAACATAACAATTTGTCATTTTTATTTATTTTAAGAAAAAAATCCTATTTTCCTATTTTCAAAAAAGAATTAAAATAAAACACCGCCCTCATTTTTTTTCGTGCGCCGTTCCATTGACCTAGTATTACTTTTTACACAATATTAATAGAGCATAAGTCTTTGGGTTTCTTTTTTTATTTTTGCATAAACTTGGCATACTTTCAAAGTGGAAGAAAAAACAAATAAGGAAAAGATAAATATGTTTTCAAGAAGAAAATGAAGAAGGAGGGATGGGGAAAAAGAAAAAAAATATCTATGTGTGTGTGTTTGTGCGTACTTACCTCTCTTTCATTATTACTAAACTGAATACTAAGATTTGGCATTGCTCTAAGTATTGCAACTAATGATTGTATTGTGTTGCTGTAAACAACCGGTCTATACTGTTTGAAATCCTCAGGAGTGAACCCACTTTCGTGGATAATTTTCATTTGTTTAACAATTGTACTTTTGCCCGATTCACCAGCACCTGGAAATAGAAAAGAAAAAAAAATGAAATGAATTTATTAGTAATTGTATAATTGTGTGGAATTAAATAAGAGGGAAATTGAATTCTGAATTATAATAAAGTAAATATTAGGTGGTAGTGGTAGCCAAAATTCTCCACTTGGAAGCTGAAAAGTTTTCATTAAGCGAAAATCGAATAAAATATTGAAAAATAATTAATATACATATATAAATAAATTAATATATATATTTAAAAAAATACATTTTCAACATTTCCAAAGAATAACAATTTCATCCAAGTCATTGGAAAATTTAATTTCTGAATTTCGTAACCGGTGTCGTATGACTGTTATTAATTACAATTTTAGTGATGGCGTATGATTTACAGGCTGGTATATTTGTAAATATTAATCATACGTTCCATAAAAATAAAACAAAAAACATTTGAGCCCCAAACCTTTTCGAAATATTTCATATAAATTATAGAACGTAAGGACCACCGAAAAAATGTACATGAACATCTCAAGGTCTCAGAAAGCCATGAAAATATATTGGTAAAACTATATCGGAATCAGAGACCATCCAAAAAATTTCGGTCAATTGTTTTGTTGCTCTTAAAAGGTTAACCAAACGTATTTCTATTATAATGTGTTGACTACAGATGCAACTAAATATTAACTATTAAACCAGGATGTTTCAGATGTCTAGAAAATAATGTCTGTAAAAATTCCAAGCAGATGGAAATTGTTTTGAAAAAATATGTAGGTATCAAGGGCCTACAAAATATTGGCAGATTCTGTAAACATTTTAAATTGGGATCAGAGATTTGCGATCAATTTTTATAAAAAAAAAATAAATGCCTGGTAAGTGCTTAACTTTCAGAGGTCAAATGATATGGGACCTCCACAAGGGTCTAAGATGGTTTTGAAGCTACTTTGACAATAAAGTGCACCTAGACGGACTTATGTCTATGTAAGAGAACTCTAAATAAATTTGTTTCTCGATAGGTGACATTTAGAAGGACCTTTAGAAGGATCACCATTGCATATACAAAATTGTGTAGACTCGGAGGTCTACGAAAAATGTATATATAAAATTTTGTAGGCCAACGAACAATTTTTTATAGATTTTTTTAGATCTTAGATGTAGATCTAAAAAAATGTTCTATACCTCCGAGGTCGACGAACAATTTACAGTAAAATTTTACAAGGCTCGGAGGTCAACAAAATTCTTTTTATAAAGATATGTAGATTTCAGGAGTCTATGAAAAAATTCTACAGAAATTTTTAGACCTCAGAGTTCTTCGAAGATATTTCTATATTCTATATTGTAGCCCTGCGGCGTCCACGAAGAATAGTCTTAAACATTTTATAGGCATCAGAGGACTATGAACAAATTGCTACAACATTTCAGAGGCCACAGAGTTTTATGAATAATTTTCTATAAAATTTTATAGGTCTCAGGGGACTATAAACAATTTTCTATAACATATGTTAGACATCGAAAGGCTATGAACATTTTCTTATAGAATTTTGTATGCCTTGAAGGCTAATGAAAAATTTCTCTAGGGATATGAACAAAGTCTATAAAATTTTATTGACCACGAAGGCCTATGAAAAGTTTTCTACAAAATTTTTTAGGTCTCGGAAGCCATTGAAAAATGTTCTATACATTTTTTAGGTCAGGGAGGAAAATTTCTAGGATTTGGAGGCCTATAAAACATTTTAAAAAATTTTAAAGGGCTCGAAGCCTATGAAAAATTTTCTATAAAATTTTTTAGGCATCGGAAGGATATAAAAACATTTTATATGTCAAAGGCCCGGGAGTTCTATGAAAATGTTTTTATAGAAATGTATGGGCCTCGGAGGAGGCCTATTAAAAAGTTCCTTATAGAATTTTGTATGCCTTAAAGGCTAATGAAAACATTTCTAGGATTCGAAAAAAATGTCTATAAAATTTTATTTGCCTCGGAGGCCAAGGGAATTTTTTCTACAAAATGTTATAGGCCTCGGGGGCCAAGAGAGAATGTTTTTTTTTATCAATTTTTTAGGTCAGGGAGGCCAATAAAATTGTATAAGCCTCAAAGGCCTATGAAAAAATGTCTATAAGATTTTATAGGCCTCGGAGGCCTATGACAAATTTTCTAAAAGAATTTATAGGTCTCGTAGGCTTTTGAACAATTTTCACAGAGGCCTATGAAAATGTTTCTATAAGATTTTATAGGCATAGGAGGCCTATGAAAATTTTGTCTTAAATTGTAGAGGCATCAGGGACCAATGGACATTTTTCTAAAAATAAATAGATGCATCGGTGACGTTCTATAGGCCTCCAAGAATAAAAAAAATTAAATTTTATAGGCTTCGGGGGTCTAGGGAAAATGTTTCCATATAATTTTATAATCCTCGCAGGCATACGTCTACTAAAAATGTTCTATAAGTTTTTGTAGGCCTCAGAAGCATTTTCCATTTTTTTTTAATTTTTATAAATTTTTTTAGATTATTTTTATAAAAAAAAGTTCTGAATTAACATAAAAAACGATCGTTCTTGTAGGCTTTTTAACATACAGAGGACCTGGAAAAGGACCTACAATGTTTTTTGAGGGTAATTTCTCGGCCGAAAGACCATAAAAGTTCGCCCAAATGATATTTCTGTAAATAAGCGGCGTAGAAGACCTTCGAGGACCTCTTAAAGATCCTTTGTCCATGCACGACATATATGAAATATCCTGCCCATTAAAAAATCTCGGCAATAATTATAATGACGGAATGATCTCCAAAATTTGTATAAGATTTTATCAAGGCCAAGTAAATAGAAGTCCTAAAAAATCGCAAGACTGGAAAATACCTCATTATCTTTAGAAAATAATGTTTCGTAAAAAAATTTTAAGGTGACTTTCTGCTCCCACAAGTTCATTTTTGGAATCCAAGATTATTTTGTTGTACACTAAAAAATGGTCTGATTTTTCCCTCTACCCTTCACCCTGGCTCCCCAATTAACAGTTTCTATTCTCATTTTAATGTTTCCTTCGAAATAAAAACATTTAAAACAACAACAACATCAAAAGACATTAAATTTCTGTTAACACTTTTATTTTCATGAGTGAATGGCGGGCTGGCTGGCAGAGTGGCTGTTTGGTTGGCAGAATGCCTTGGCTTGTGCCTAACCAAAGAAAAAATGAATGGAACAAGACCGAACGAACAAGCCAACGAACGAACATCAGCATATGTTCTATGCTTGGACGCGGTCGGTTGGTTGGTTGGCTGGTTCAGTGCGTCTGAATGAACGAACGAACATCTTAGAAGCGTAAAGATGCTGATGCTGATGATGTTTTTTGTTGTTGTTTGTGTTTTGGTGTGATGAAGTGGTGTGGACTAATGGCTTTTGAAGTGCCAAAAAAAAAAAAAAAAAAAAAGAATACTTGTGTGTGTGTGTAGATTCACATCACATACATGTGTATGTGCGCCTATACACATATGGCGTCTCGACGACATTGAGATACACACACCGAAATCGTAAGTACAATGTCTAGGCATCGTCGTCAGAAGATGACGTTGCCGTCTTCATCATCATCAGCATCTACTTTGAATGTAAAATGTTTTGCTGTAAAGAAGAAGAAGCAAATGAAACAATTTTTTCTGTGTTTCCACAAAAAAATCGGAAGAAAAAAATCTTAAGTACAAATCTGTGTTAACAACCCAAACAAGAAACAACAAAAAAAAAAAAAAAAATAAAGAAAAAGTGAAAACAAAGACATTTATACATCCATCATAATGAACAACATATGTATGTAAGTATCATACCATAAATGCATACTTATATGTGTGTGTGTGTGATAATAATATGGTACATTCTTTTTTTTTGCAAATGTAATAATAATCATATTTCTCTTTTTACAAAAAATAAAAACAATACAATCTCATGTTAACAATGGCACATGGGAAAGACTTGATAATTTATGAAAAAAATACAGAAAAAAATAATGCCATTATTTACCGCTGCCAAAATGTGTTGTTTTTTTTATAAAAAGTGAACAACAACAAAAAACGACAACAATGAAAAAGTATGATTTAATTTTGTAATTTTTTTCTTGTTGTTGTTCGCTCAACGCCATCTGAAAAATATTTTTTCACATAAAAAATACATTCACCTTTTTGTCTGTTAATACCTGAATTTTTCAGAATTGCTACAATTCTGAGAAATGCAAAAAAATAACAAGAGAAAATAATGACCCATGTCATTTCTAATTAATTTCAATATACGAAATTTGTTAAAAAATTAAAAGAAATATCAAAAAAATTTAGTTTTTTATAAGAATTAGAATTGTGCGTGTGATGGATTTTTGTTATGTGTACACAAATAAATATTATACGCTCCCACCAGTAACATTAAAATTATTAACAGTCATACGTCACAGAGCACGAGACTGAAAAAGGTTTATTTCTGGATTGAGATGCATGAAAATTGTTCAGAGCTTCATGAGGGATTTTTGAAAAAATTTTACAATGGTTCTAAAAATTATAAAAAGATTTCTTTTTGGGGTATCATACGTATGATTGATTTTTGCAGTTTATATCGAAATAAAAATAATACGTCCCAGGAGTATTGTAATATCACTCATACGTCATATTGGACAATAGTTTATTTTTTAATACACAGATTTTATTTTTACTCTTTAGAGCCTAATGATATATTTTTCGAATAAAACTGTTTAATCTATAGATCTCTGAAAGGTATTCCACCTGTAAAAGGCCTATAGAAATATTTCAGACTTTTGAAAGTATTCTGTTAGGTTATTTTTTCGTGCCAATTGGTAGCCTCTTGAACATATTCGGTTATAGAAGACCATTTAAGAACGTTCCTCCTGTGTTCTATATTTAGAAGAAAAATCCGGACATTATTAGTCTGTCAAAAAATGCGATGGTCGTTTGAGGATTCTAGATATTAAATTATGTGAGGTTCCTCTGTAGAAAATATATTTTCGAATATATATAAAGATTTGTTGGGATGGAAAATTTTCTATAG